TCAATAGCTGTTAGCCAGAATATACATGTATATATTTTCAGTTGCTGAGTATTTTGGAAAGAAAAAGACTTCACTTCTGAATTCCAACTGTTAGGTCACATATGTTGATGTGGTAGATTCTAGTCCCTTCATTTTGTTTATTATGTAGTCACACAAAGCTGAAAAAATTAAAAATAGTAAAAACAAAAAAAACACCACATTTCTCTTATATAGATTCCTGGGCCATGTATTTGAGTATAAGCCTGGGTACTAAGGAGCCACAGAGCCTTCATCACCAGGACAGAGCCATCTGCTCTGATAAAGGGAAACAAGATCTTACAAAGGGCATTGTTGGTGTAAACAGCTTGTTCATTGAAGACATGGCACAAAAAAGAAAGAACAACGAAGAGAGAAGGGACAAGCAAATTGTTTTTCTTCTTGATTTATCTTGTCTTCCCCAAGACTTTTCTTAAAGATTTAAAATAAATTAATATGCCTGCTCTTCATATATCAGTTAATCTCAGCGTTTCTCTTACTCTCGTATAGTTCATTTCCATAAGTACTGTAGTAGATGATACCTTTTTTTTGTTGACAGCTGTTTGTTATCTCCCACTCCTGCCATGTTTTAGTGAGAGCTTATGTTCTATATTTCTCTACATAGCTGACTTTGGACTTGGCCATATGACCAGCTTTGACCAATGGGATGTGAGGTGATAGGAACTATGCCACATCAAAGCAGAAACTAAATATATTCACATAGTTTGGCCACTTTTATTTCTGCCCTGCATGTACCAGATAATAGTTACTCTTTTTTTTTAACTATTAATTTTGTTATTTTAAAGATGTGGGGTACAATTCAGGGTTAGGTATACAAATGTTCATTATGCAGGGACCCTTGTTGATGAGGTGTGCCCCCCTTCCCCAGGCAGACTCCCACTACTGCCAATCCCGCTTCCCCACCCCTCTCCTGGCAGTTTCCCGCTACTGCCAATCCTTTTCTTAAAGTATTATGATAAATTGTTCAAGTTCCGCTTATGAGTGAGAACATGTGATACTCAGTTCCTTGTTTCTGTGAAAGATCACTCAATGATAATAGTTATTCTTTCAGCTTCTATCTTGTAATGTCAAGCTGATCCATTCTTCATTGTCCAGAATGAAAAGACAACTCATAACAGACCTGCCATCCACTTGCAACCAAGAGGAGAGCTTCGGAGTGTCAGAACTGCAGCAGACTCATGATTAACATACCACAGATAACAAATTTGTTGTGAGACACGGAGTTGTTAAGATTGTGTACCCTGTGAATTACCACAGTCAGAATCAAATAATCTACCAAGTCATGTCAATTCTATCTTTTAAATATTTCTCATAATCAGCCACTTTTTTTCAGTCTCCTTGTTAATATATTGATCCAGGTGCTCATTCCTCTCGCCTGGCTCATTGGAACACCTTCTTAAGTATATCCTATCTCTTTTCATACCTCTCCCACCTATCACTACCTCTGAAGTTATCATGCTAAAACACATTTCTGATTAGATCACTGTCCTGTTTCAGGACCTTCCATAGGTCCCCATTACCCAGAGGTAAAAGTCAAAGTTTAAAAAAAATCAAAGTTAACTTCACTATTACTTCACTATTACTCCCAGTAACTTTTCATCCTCATTCCCATCATTACTCCCATGATTTCTGAACTTTGACCACATCAGATAAACTCACTCTAATACTTTCTTCAGGGCAAAATTATATTCAGTCATCAAAGCCCAATAAATGGCACATCCTTTAAAAAAACTTTCTCCAAGTTATCTAGATTAGTTATTTGCCCTCTCCCTCTTTTAGTGTATTGCAGTTTTGCAGTAGCATATATTCACCATATTATGAATATTTTGAGTTTGTATTTCCTTATTAACTCATGCTCCTCAAGGTTAGGGACCCTTTCATATTCATTTCTTTAATCTTAGCTGTTATTATAGGAAGCACTCAGTAAATTGACCTACAACCTGGCCTCAGAGTACTTTGTCAAGAGTCCTGATTAAACAAGAGCTGGTTTATACTTTGGTGTGCTGGAAGCACTTTACTGGAGAGACACTTGAGGTCTCTAGTTCGTTATATCCTTCAAGCCAATCTATGGATTTCCTTTCTTATATCTGGCAATTCTTACTTAAGTCATAATCTCAGGAGAAAGATGTGACTCCAGACATGCGTCTCTGGATTCTATCCCCTTTTGTAAACTACAGCAGTACTTTTCTTCTGGATGAAGGGGTCTGGAAATTCAAGCACAAAAAAAATCATTCCAGATTCCAGATAGCATAATAGCTATAAAAGTTAGTCCCAGTGTCAAGTAAAACTTCTTTTCAATCCTGTCTTGAAATAAATCTGTGAGTCTATTTTGGCAAGAAATCAATACTATATCTAAAGATCTTGTGTTATGAGATACCTCAGAGCATCAGTCAGTAGTTTGTGATCTCATAGCAGCCCTTTTATTATTCCCAGCAACCCAAAAGGCTGGCTCCTCTATTATGACACATCCCACTGAAAGGTAAAAAAATTTTTAAACTGCATGCACATTAGTATTTTCCCATTTACGACATTAACAAATAGTCATATAACCAATGCTAACTATCTTTGCTAGTGAGTGTGAGCAGTAGCTAAAACAATGATCTCACTTACACACGATATTGCTATATATATATATATTTTAATCAATAATTTTTATTATGATTTTGAGGGGTACAGTTAAGGGTAGGTTTACATTTCATTCAGGCACCTTGTTGATAAGAGGTGTTTCCCCATCCCCAGACAGATATTTGCGACTGTTAATCCCATCCCCCTCCCTCCCCATAGTTTCCCAGTACCGTCAGTCATTTTCTTATAGTATTACATTGGATGTTCAAGGTTCATTATATGAGTGAGAACATGTGATACTCGGATCTTTGTTTCTGTGAGAGGTCACTCAGTATTATAGACTCTAGTTCCATCCAGTTTGCTGCAAAATTCATGATTTTGTTCTTTTTTATGGTTGCGTAGTATTCCATCGTGTATATGTACCACATTTTTTTTAATCCAGTCCTCTTTTGATGGGCAGCATGGTTGTTTCCAGGTTCTTGCTATTGTGAACAATGCCGCAATAAACATACGCGTGCAGGTATCTTTTTTATAGAGAGATTTGAGGTCTTCAGGGTATATTCCCAGTAGGGGGATTGCGGGGTCATATGGAAGGTCAATTTTTAGAGCTTTTAGGAATTGCCACACTGCTTTCCACAGAGGTTGCACTAGTTTACACTCCCACCAACAGTATAGAAGTGTTCCCTTTTCTCCACACCCTCTCCAGCAGCTGTTATTTTTTGAGATGTTGATAATTGCCATTCTGACTGGAGTTAGGTGGTATCTCAGTGTGGTTTTGATTTGCATCTCCCTGATGATTAGTGAGGCTTAGTGATTAGTGATGATTAGTGATGATTAGTGAGGCTTCATGTGTTTGTTGGCTGCTCAGAGGCCTTCTTTTGTGAAGTGTCTGTTCATATCTTTTGCCCATTTTATAATGGAGTTGTTTGTTTTTTTCTTTTCAGCATGTTTGAGTTCCTTGTAGATCCAGGATGTTAAGCCTTTGTCAGACCTGGAGTTGGCAAATACTTTTTCCCAGTCTGTAGGCCATCTCCCTGCTCTCTTGATGGTTTCTTTGGCTTTGCAGAAGCTTATCAGTTTAATGAGGTCCCACTTGTCTATCTTATCTCTTATGGCCTGTGAGTTTTGGGTTTTGTTCAGGAATTGGATGCCAGTTCCGATTTCCATGAGGGTATTTCCTTCCTTTTCTAAGGTTCTTATGGTTTGAGGTTTTACATTTAGGTCTCTGATCCATTTGGAGTTAACCTTTGTGTATGGGGATAGATAGGGGTCCTGTTTCAATCTTCTGCAAGTGGTCAGCCAATTTTGCTATATTTAAATACAAATTATACTCACACTTAAATCACTATACCGATACACAAACACACAATTTTACACATTAACTAAGGATTCATTAACTATGTATTGATATTTTTCTGCCTGGTAATTGCTGGAGTCATGGGAGTTAGGGGGAAAATGCATAATCTTTTTCTCATAGAACTTGTAGATGAGTCCAACAAATATAGTGTGATAAAAACTTTGATAGGCATGAACCAAATATCTAATGACAGAGTAATGCCTAAGATATCAGAAAGTATTTTAAATAATATCTTTAATTTGGTAAAAATAAGTGTGAGACACAGTACTTATGCATGCCACATGAACCTGAAAATATAATATTTCATATACCATACTCTTACTACAAATAGAATTACCCAGATGCTACATGGCTCAATATACTTGCTGAGGATATCAGAAATTATGAGATGACATGTGTGGGCACTAAATATTGGGCTAACACAATTACAAGGATGGGAACAACAGACACTGGAAACTGCTAAAGTAGGGAAGGAGGGAGAATAGAAATACAAAACCATCCATTGGGTACCATGCTCACTAGTGGGGTGGCGGTGAGGGCTCATCAGAAGCCCAAACCTCGCCTTCATACATATATACTTATGTAACAAATCCTCACATGCACCTCATGTTTCTAAAAGAAAAAGAAATGATGGAATGATATCTCCATTATCTTCCGTTATTCTTTTTTATTCTGGATTTTAAATGACTGATTTTTAAAAGAACATATTTTCTGTTTTTGAATAAGGTCACTAGACTCTTTCTACTTAAATTTTAACACTTATGCACACCAAATGAAATTAGGAGAATCAGAGAATTACTGAAAGTAAACTATTTTTCTGTCTCTCCACAGGAGGGTAGTATTTCAAAAGGCAACACAGAGAAGGGGAGGGTGGAGGGTGAATGAGTCCACTGGCTGCCACACAGGGGTTTCTATATTTTTACTGAGATCTAAGTGAGTGGTAACATGTGCTAGTTCAGCCCAGAAAAGCGTCTTTTGGGAGGGGCTCTTTTAAGAGCAGCTAAAGTCAGTGACTGTGTCCTCCAGGTGACAGATGTACAAGATGATTCTGAAATCCTCCGTGTTAATCCTTTGGACTCAACTGGCATGTGAGTTTACAGGATTTCCCAATTAAATTAACAGAAAATTCTAAAGAGATGGAAAATTCCTGATGGCAGGTTATTTTATGGCAAAGTATGGTAGGAGAAATAAAAGAAGGAAGGAGGAAAGGGAGAGAAGAAGAGAAGAAGGGAGAAAAGAGGGAGGAAAAATAATTTTAGGTTGGGAAAGAGAATCTAGTTTCCTTCCCCCATGTCTTCTGCTTTGCTTCTAAACAGGGGTGAACACTCAGCAGCTGGAACAGAGTCCTCGGTTTCTAAGCATCCAGGAAGAAGAAGATTTCTCTACGTACTGCAACTCCTCAAACCCTTTTCCCAGCTTACAGTGGTACAGACAGGAGCCTGGAGAAAGTCTTGTCCACCTGATGACATTAGTTAAGGGCGGAGAAGTGAAGGAGCAGAAGAGACTAACCTTTAAGTTTGGTGAGGCAAGAATGAGCAGCTCCCTGCACATCACCAAGGCCCAGCCTGGGGATGCAGGCCTCTACCTCTGCGCAAGGGCACAGTGCTTTCCGAGCACCTGCTGCCTGCACCTAAATCCTGCTGCCAACCCCAGTCACACTGCCACCCTGTGCCTCCAGCAGCTCCTTACCCAGCTTATGGCATAAGCAACGATAACAACTTCAGCTCCTAGTGGAACCATTTCTACTGTCTTTTCAGAAAACATTTCCCAAGACCCCTGTGTTATGAGCTAAATCACTGGATGTGGCCTACTGTTAAAGTCAGTAAATATATGGGCCCACAGCTCACCAGTGTAGGCAGTATAGAAAGGAGTCAACATGGAGGGACAAATGGAAGAAATCACACAGGCTGGTTGAGTGTTTCACCCCTGTTTAGAGACAAAGAAGAGGCACTAGAGAAGAAAATTAGATATTCTTTGCCAACCTGAATTGACTTGTCCTCTCTCCTTCCTCCTTTCTCCTTCCCTCACCCTCTCTCTCTTTTCCCCCTTTAACTTCTCCTTTTCTAATTTGCCATAAAATAACTTGCCATCAGAGATTTTTCATCTCCTTAGGATTTTCTGTTAATCTAGTTGGTATCCTATTAAGCTCACATCTATTCATCCAAAGGATCAACGTGAAGTATTTCAGAGTATGTCATGGTTCTGGTTGATCATTCCTTTTTCCTGGAGACCACAGGCAGGAATAGTCAGTACAAGGGTCAAAAACAGATGGTTTCTCAATTTTCTTTTAGTATTCTGGGGATGATGAAACTGCTATGTTCCCAGACTATTAAACTGAAATAAAACGCAGAAGTGTCATAAAAAAATAATTAGAGGAAAGTTACTATTTTTTTGGAAGAAAGATGCCTTGAAGTAAGTATACTTCAGTAGCATCCAATAATGATTCCAGTGTAACACATTCAGTTGGTGGTTCTAAAACTAACCAAACATTAACTACAATAGTCTGTATTTGCACAGGACTTGCTCGGTATTGAGACTTTGAATAGCAGATATCAATAACTTCAAGTTTTCAAGGTTGAAGAAGATAAAAGTTGACAGTTTTCTCCACATGGCAAGCTCTTCCAATGACCCATTTTTATGCTTGAAAAGTTCCTACTTCCTCTGTAAGGCAAGACGATATAGTGCAAACCACATGGGTTTTGGAATCAGAATAACTTAGGATAAAATCTTGTCTTTGCAATTTTCTAGCTGCATGTCCTTGCAATTATTTATGTTCACCTAAATTTCCTAGTAAATAAAGATTAATAAGAACACCTATCTAACTGAATTTCTGTGAATTAAATGAAATAAAATATATAAAATCATCTGAAGTTCCCAGCACAGCATATGTACTCAATAAATGTCCCTAAAAATATTGTAATTGATGTCCCTAAATAAATGGTCATTCCTACTGTAAAACTTTTACTGCCTAATATTCTCAGTCCCTACCATAGTAGTCAAGAAGGTAGACTCTGAGTTGTGAGCCTAATCACAATTCTCTTCTGGTTACTTATTACCAGAACTCTCAGTTTTAATATATCCAACCAAAAAAAAAAAAAAAAAAAAGAAAGGAAGAAAGAAGTAAACAAACAAACAAACAAACAAACAAAAACCCCTACTACATTTCACGCTCTGTCTTACAGCTAGGGAATACCATATAGAACACTCATGGCCAATGAGATGGAAGCAGAAATCTGCTAGGAATTTTCTGTAGTATTTTGTTCCCATGGTACAAGCACCACATCTTCCTGTCCCCTTTCTCCTTTTTTTTTTTTTTCCTGAAACATGGAAGTGATCACTTTACCATAAAGGAAAGTACAAGCATAATGTTCTTCCCCAACCTCATGACCTGTAGTTCTTTAGATGTCAAGTTAAATCCAGTCTCCACAATTCTTTTCAAATAAACCATTATTCGCTTCAGTTTTTGTTGTTGTTGTTGTTTTTGCTGCAGCTAAACATACTCCTAGCTGGAGTCGGATTGGCATAAAAAGGCTTTGTGATTTTTCTGTTCTCATGGGTAAGTGCAAGAAGAGTGATATAAACAGATTACTTATTAACAGAACTCTCATAAACAGATTACTGTGTTTATACAAAGGAGCTTCATTTCTATTGAACATGTATGTTTCTTAAAGTATCAATGTTCCCATAATTTTAATGAAGGGAAGAAATCTTTCATTTAGAAAGGCTGCATTTTTAAATTTCCATATCACTTTCTTATATTCATGGAAAACTATGGAATTCAGCTTTTCATCCTAAATCTTTTAACCATAGATAATATCAATTTCCTTGCAAATGATGTTTGTTCTTACATTTTTCTTACTTTCATGTTTCAAAGTTTATTTTTCTTTTTCTTACCTTACACTACCCAGTAACCCATTCCAGAAGCAGTCCTTAAAAATTGTGTTACATTGAACTCCTTCATTCTGAAGATTGTAAGGGCAGATGCAAATTAAAAATAAGAAAACGTTTTTCATTCTCTCTGGTAAAAAAACAGAAAGACGCTCTCCCCTCCCTTTTCTTAGAACATTTACTTTACAAAACTTGTAAGTTTTTTCTCTGTCTCCTTGAAATGCATTTCAATCTTTTTAAAAGCTTAATAAACCTCTTGCCAGTTTTACAACATAGACTGTCTTTCTCAAGGGCCTGGAAGCCACCTTTTGGAAATGTAATCATCAAGGGAGATAGTGCCCCAAGCTCCTGGTTTCTGTGGAAAATAGGAGCCTAACTTCAGCTGATACTTTTCTCCTAGCTGCAAATATGCCTCCTGTCATAAAGATATGAGAATTTTTTTCTTCACATAAAGGCAATTAGGCCACATAGGTGACTACCTCAATTACCAGGTAAATTGAGGATTAACTCTATGTGACAAATAGTGTGTCAAGTCCTCTTTCTTCAGGACTAGTTCTTGTTTATATTAAGAAATTATATACAATTAGTTGCATCTGCCTGACTGTAGTAAAAGGATAAGATTTCTTTCTCCTTTGTAATCTCTTTAGTTGCCTGTGATATGCATTACATTCTGGTTTAATGCGTATTCAATGATAAAACTGTTTTGTTTCTTTCTACCTTTGTGGAGGGGTGTTATTGATTGGCAGGAGATTTTGTTTTACTTCCACAACACGACTGCCCAATGTCTCTCCATAATCACTGTGCGTGCATGTTTCTCCCTGAAAACCAACACAACACTGTGAAAAGAAAGAGGGTTTCTTATGGCCACTTAACGGCTATGTAACTTTGGGCAATTTATATTAACCTTATAAGCATCAGATTCTTCATAAGTACTTCAGAAAGTGAGTAAAAGTATTTAATTTACAGTGTTATTGTAAGGATTAGCAATGTTTTGAGAAACACCTAGCATAATGGATTTTAAAATTTAAAAATTGAAAGTGGGAACCACAGATTCCATAAGGTACACTCAAAACTTCATTTGTGTCCTGATAGGTCTTCTGTATCAGGAATATGGAAGGGACACACTCCCTGTTTCCAAAAATTCACTGTCATGGTGATAAAAGGCCATAGACTAGTTCCCACAACCGTTGTTCTCCAGGTATTGTAACTTGAAGAAACTCGACCTACAACCTCCATTCAGAGCAATCATTTCTAAAAGCAAGGAACCACTCTGTGCCTTCCTAAAAACACACTGTTGAGGCCTAAAACAGACTCAAACCCTGGGTGGCTGGCTGCATTGCAGTAGAGAAAGCGGTGTTAGCTCTAGGGGGCACTCTAACCTGAGGAAAGTTTCTTTGGGTGTTCAGGAGGATTAATGGCTGAAGGGAGGATGAAAATCTCTGAAACATGAAGAGGGTTAATAACACATATGACCCTGCTTTCTTATCACCAATTCTATTTTCTTATCTCCAAGAGTCAAAATGAAACTTGAGGCTTATTTTTTTAATTAATACAATTTTTATTTTAAATTTTTTTTGACTTTTAAATTTTCTTTATTTTAAAATTGTGGGGTACAATTCAGGGCTAGGTATACAAATGTTCATTATGCAGGTACCCTTGTTGATGAGGTGTGTCCCCCCCTCCCCCAGTAGATTCCCACTACTGCCAATCCCTTTCTTATAGTATTATGATAATTGTTGAAGGTCTGCTTATGAGTGAGAACATGTGCTACTCAGTTTTCTGTTTCTGTGATAGACCACTGGGTATGATAGACTAAATCCATCCAAGTTGTTGTAAAGTCCATATGTTTGACCTTCTTTATGGCTGCATAGTAGTCGTTCATTGTGTATATGTACCACATTTTTTTATCCAGTCTAGTTTTGATGGGCAACACTGTTGGTTCCATGTTTTTGCTATTGTGAATAGAGCTGCAATAAACATGCATGTGCAGGTATCTTTTCTGTAGGATGATTTGAGTTCCTCTGGGTATATTCCCAATAGGGGGACTACTGGGTCATATGGAAGTTTAATTTCTAGTTCTTTCAGAAATCGCCACACTGCTTTCCAAAGAGATTGCACTAGTTTGCATTCCCACCAGCAGTGCAGAAGCGTTCCTTTTTCTCCACATTCTCACCAGCATCTGTTGCTGTTTTATTAATGATGGCCATTCTTCCTGGGATTAGGTAACATCTCAATGTGATTTTGATTTGCATTTCTCTGATGATTAGTGAAGTTGAGCACTTTTTCATGTGTCTGTTGGTTGCCTGTATGTCTTCTTTTGAGAAGACAATAGAATTCATGTCTTTTGCCCACTTTTTCATGGGGCTGTTTGTTTTTTTCCTTTTGGCACATTTGAGTTCTTTGTAGATCCTAGACGTTAGACCTTTGTCAGATATACAGTTAGCAAATATTTTTCCGATTCTATGTGCTGTCTCCCCACTCTCTTGATGGTTCCTTTGACTTTGCAGAAGCTTTTCAGTTTGATGAGGCCCCACTTGTCTATATTATCTCTTATGGCATGGACACTTGGAGTTTTGAGCAGGAATTGTTGCCAGTTTCAATTTCCAAAAGGGTGTCTCCTGCATTTTCTAAGATTCTTATAATTTGAAGTTTTACATTTAGGTCTTTGATCCATTTAGAAAACTTGAGATTTAAACAGGAAAATTTATTTCTTATTTATTTAACTCTAGTTTAATAAATCAATGTTTCTTGGTATCAGGAACCAAGAAGATCTTTTATCAATTTGTTCAGAAATTATTTACAATTTCTGATTTCTGT